ACTTTTATTCTGCCCTAATTGAAATTAAGCAAAATTCTCTGTAGCCTCAATTATACAACTTCCAGAAGGGAGGATTGAAGTAAAAGCCATTTTCTGAAAATATTTCTCATTTCTTTTTTTAGATGAGAATAAAAAACGTTTGTTAAAATCAAAAATTGGCAGCAGATGAAACTCTTAAAAACTACTTCACAATCTTTTGAAAGCAACTACAAAAATGGCAGAATGTTGCAGAAAAAGACGCCGTAATCGGCCTCAGACTCACCTTATCGTTGATGCGATCGATCTGAACGTTCTGCTTGTCGATCTCGTTGCCCATATTCAGAGCCATGTCCTTCAGGTTGCCAATGATGCCGCCGACGGCCTGAAGGTTATCCTCCATTTCGTCCTCCCGCGCATCGTTAGTCACTCTGCACAACGACACGCCGCGGTTTGTATTTGGATACGAGGAATCGCTGAAGACGGGAAAAAGAAGAGGAGCGTTACCTGTTGATGTAGGGGCCGGACGGCGCGGCAGCGGCGTTCGTCTGGGCGGTCTGGCCGTTGCGAACGCCCGAAGGCTGCCTTGAGACGACGTTTGAGCCTTTGCTGTTGCCTTTGCCCCACGTGCGTTTGTAACGAGAGTCGTTCTCGATGGATGACACCCTGGGGACAAAAAAAAAAGATTCAAAATCCAGGTGAAAACCAGTGACGTGCGGTCAGGGGAGGCAGGTGAGACAGAGCCTCACCTGTCATCATGGAAAAATAATATAATCAGTTATAAAGATATTTTCTCCCTGTGCTTTGTCCTATAAAGTACCTATTTTTTCATTTAATTTAACCAAATCTTATGACTTTTTTTCTTTAAAATCACTGAATTTTCGCATTTTCCCATTCAAATTCTTGGAAGCGAAGCCGGTGAGGCAGCAGCGAGCTGAGCCTCACCTGAGATTGTGCAACTTCTCCCTAATAGCACCGGTTGCCATTCTATGAGAGCATGCTCCTCCTGTCTGTACGTCGCCAATAAAATGGTTAAAAACATGTAATGTATAATCTGATTCTTCATAATTTAGCTTATGTATTTAATGTACTGTGTTTTTATTGTCACCAACTGAGTGTAACGTGTTTCGTGTGCTGAGGAGCGATCAGAAACGGCAGAGAACAGATTCGAGGTGAGGCAGGCAGTTCTCTTGCCTCATCGCTGGGGGCGCTCATGAACCCAGACATTGTGAATCCACATCTGCAGAGTAAGACACAGTAACAGCGAGCTAGCCATACAGTAGCTGCGCTGATACAGAGAGCGAGAAAGACGTAGTTTTGAGTTGTACTTTAACGGTTTCTCCCTTTGCTGTTACGCACAGCACGAAATTAATAATATCTACATGTCTAAGTTTGATTGAGATAACGGCATTATTCTGCGGCGGCGCGGCTATGGATGGCATGTTAAAGAATAGTCTTTTTACCCTCCAGCATTGTAAGCACGCGCGAAATTTCCTTATGTAAACAATAACATGCAGAGGGTCTAGATTTGCAAATCCAATTATAATTAAGTCGGTGCCTCACCAGCTATGAACCTCACCGCACGTCACTGGTGAAAACTTACAGTGAACACACACACGCAAAACTTGAGTAGCTCTTTCTTAGCAGGTTCAACTGTTAGCTACTGCAGATGCTAATCAATGAAGCATGACAGGTAAAAGATTCCCTACCTGATGCCTTGATAATCAAAGTATCTTCTTTTCCAAAACGAAAGCATTTCAGAAAGATTTTGTCCGTGTTTAGAATCAAATGCAGCCTTTTAAAGTCATTATAAAAGTACATTTACCAGGCAGATTTATGGTAAATGTTGAGTAGCACTCTGCTATCAACAACGTTTGCAATTTATGGGTAAAAAAACAAAACAGCAATAAAACAAACCAGCATCACAGAAGTGCTTCAAGCTGCGTAAATACCAAAGCAATTTGCATTTGAAGCCTTCTGCAGCTTTGCAGACCAACTGCACGCTCTCTTTTTGATGCGTTATAATTGCGACGGCGGGTCGAGACGAGAGCAGGAAGCGGCGGCGGAACAGACGGGCTACCTGTCGCAGG